CAGAATGAACCAGCATTGGGTAATCGCAATGGCATATTGTTCCTTCATGAAAATACCAGGCCTCGTGTGGCACGGTTAGCCAGTAATACCATACAGAGACGTAGTTGGTAGACACTGTGCCATCCACCTTACTCGCCGGACCTTGCGCCAGGCGCTGATAGAGTTCTTTGCGTCCAAGACAACTTATTTTTATTACCAGGACATTTCACAGCTGGAGGCACGTTAGCAAGAGGTTCTAGTTGCCGATGGGGATTACTTTGAAGACTATGTCAAATTTTCTGTATACCTTTTTCTAATAAACCAAAAACGGTAATGGCTTTTGGTTACCTTATAGTTTATCAATTTCGCTGCCTCATAAAAGGCTGCGATTCTTGTAATAAAGAAAAAGACAATTCCAACAACTAGATTGGCCAGACAACAATGTCATTAAGTAAGAGAATGACAAACTACTTAAGTGATCTTAGTTTCATTAGGAAACTCTTAAACACTTTTACACAACACCCTGATACAATGAGAAAATACTTGTAGAAAATATTAATTCTAAGAACTTCTAATTATAAAATTCTTTAAAGATAATAGAAACATTTTAGATAAAGCAGTTTAAGCCTAGCTTCATTCTTATCTTCTTTGAAACTGGACGGAACATAACGACAGTGTTTTTAAAGGTACCTACATGGAATTACTACTACTATTATCCAGCATGGCATAGAATTTCTATTACTTATGCACAATACAACTTAGAATATAAATACAAAAAGCACTAACACAAAAACCCTTGAAAATGGCTAATGAATTGGTCGAAAGCGCTTGGGACAATAATCACTACAGACATTTTTTTTATAATTTCTTTGTTTCTATAAAGATTAGAAAAACCGAATAAAAACTGATCAAATTTTTCTTGTCAGTCACATTCAATGAAACACGGACACACGCGCACACGCACACGCGCACACACACACACACACACACACACACATATCTCTGTGATTGTTTATATTTATTAACAACTTATTCAACACTAAGCATCAGGAAAACTTGATACGATGACAAGAACCAAGTCAAGATAAGTGGAGAGTATCTGTGCCACATATGAATCGAAGAGTCTGATGGTAAAACACTAGTGGGTCGTTAATGATTGAATTATATCACAATATGACATGATACACACACACACACACACACACACACACACACACATATATATATATATATATATATATATATGCATATTTGTGTGTATGTGTGGTATTTTGTATTATCGAGTGCAGATAGTTGAGCATATTGTCGCGCTTTCTGACAAAGCTAATCTAAAGACAAATTGCTAAAGTTTTTTTTCCTGTTTTCTCACAGAAATAAATTCGCTCCTTGCCCAGTCTTCTGTAAATATTGTTGCTGTTTGGATTGTAAGTATAATCATAACTAAAAATGAAATATGAATGTGGAACTGAAAGATAACGAAAAAAGGAAATAAAACTAAAATCAAGAGAAGAGAGAAAAAAAAGCGAAAGAAAACTATTACAGTGCGAAAAGAGGCTAGAAGAAAAAGAGGGAGACAGAAGGATAGAAAAGAGGCGAAGAGAACTAATTGAAAAGATGAATGACGGGGGAAAAAGAGGAAGATGAAAGGAAACAGCTGATAAAATTGAAAGAAATAGAGAGCCAATGGGAGGGGAATACAATCCAATGAGAGGGAGAGAGAGAGAGAGAGAGAGAGAGAGAGAGAGAGAGAAAGTGAGAGAAGGGTGTAGCGCCAGAATAACAGAAAAAAACAATGAAAGGTTGAGAGTAAGTATTAAAGAATGACATTGACGTCAAACAAAGGAAAATAAAGAAATCTGAAGGGGAGAATGCAAAAGGAAAGAGAAAGGAAATATATTGAAAATTAAGAAGAAAAAACTCAAAACAATGAAAGAATTTGATGATTGCAACTCGGAGAGACGGAAGTAAAGATAAATGGGAAAAAAAGAAGAACCAGGAGAGAAAATGGAATGCTTTGATAAAGAAAGTATAAAACAGGAAGAAGAAAGAGAGAAAAAAGAGGAAAAGAAAGAATGGACAAGAACGATAGAAAGAAATTGAAACGGTGAAAAAGAAATTGAATTCTTCGAGATGAAGAGAGAAAGTCAAATGAATAGAAGAAATAAGAAGTAAAAATAACGAAGAAAAGGCAAAGATGATCCGACAACAACGAACAATAGTAATAAAAAAAAACTTATTTAGATCATTTGAAAATTATATCATTAAATTTTAAAAAAATGAGCTAAATATATATAAGAAAAAATAACATAGGAATTAAGGAGAATAATAATATCGCCGAAAAGAAAGAAAGAAGTCTAGAATAGAGGACAGAAAAAAACAAAAGGGATAAAAAGAGAATAGTAAGAAAAGAACGAATAGGAAGAAAGCAAAAACAAAAACAAAAACAAAAACGAATAGAATTATTCCTAATACTACATTATTGTGTGAGCACGTAAAGATAAAAAGAAATACAACAAAACTAAAATAGGGAGGTAAGAGGAGGATCGACCTCGAGGAAGAATGTCGGATGCAAAATCTGTTTGATGCTGATATTTTATCCGTATCAGCGACATCAGTTCGCGTTACTTACCTTTACTTATTTATCGTATCTCATTAACTTCTTTTCGTTCCTTACAAATACAGACGCCGGAAGCTGGTACGCCTGCTGTTTCTTCCAGTTTTTTTTTCTTCTCGCGTCTTTTTCTTCTGTTTAATCAAAGATTAGCTTTTCTAAAATTAAAGATTAAAAAACTGAGCTGATGTTTCATGTACAATCACCATAGTAATTCAGAATTTGTCAATGTATTCGAGTGGCAGACATTTTTTTTTCAAGAAGAGTACAGAAAGCGTTAAATATAATGGGATAGAAGTGTTCAGTTAGATTTGTCGCAGCTCTGGGAAAAAAGAAACTGAGATCGAATAAGTTGCATTTTTTTTCATGGAAATATTCATTTATAAGAAATCTTTCGTAAGCATCAATTCGTTTTTCGGGTAAATAAATTCAAATTCAGTTTAACATTTTTTGTTTTACGTGAAAAATTTTTCAAAACTCAAAATCAATTAAAAATATGTTTAAATGAAATCTGCTGTTATTTGTTTACTTTAGCAACATTAATGACAAGAAAGTGCATTTATGTTTTCCTGGATGTTATTTACAATATTGCTATTGTGTGTGTTAAAAATGTTGTCAGGGTTATTGTCTCTTTCGATTCTTTAAAAGTTTGTGTTTACTTGTTTTTGCTTGTTCCGAGAATTTCCTGGTTAACGGTAGCATTTGAATTCGTCAACTGTAGATTTTCACGGAGCGATGGTTATACATCTGTCTTGTTCCTTTTTACTACCGCTACTCTACTCTACTCTAATGACTCTACTTGTGAGTGGAAGGGTGGTATTTTATAATGACGAAGTTTCGGCGCGTTGGACATATCGGAAGGGAAAACCAAGGAAACATTATGATAATAACAACAAAAACTTTTTTTTGTGTTGTTTGTTTTTTCACTGGTTAAGTAAATCTCTTGTGTATTTGTCTCGTCAAGTAGCATTCGTGTGTATAATCCATCTGTTTGTGTATCCTAATTCTAGTTGATCTATGCGGAATTTGGTTGATAGTGTGTGTGTGTGTGTGTGTGTGTGTATTGGGTATTTTTCCTCTCTGATAGAATCTCTATGTTAATTGGGGCTGTTTTGTGTAGGAGTGAAAGAAATTAGGTTTCAGCGGTTGTGGTTGAAGTTAGACTGATCTTAGGTTCTTTAAATATGGATTTTTAAAAGTTGGTGATATAACAGTAACTGACAGTAAAACATTTATCAGTATCCCTTCTAAGTATCTCCTACGTAATAAATCATGTTCTTTATGCTACCTACATAACGAATGAAAAATCAACAACACAAAAATTTAAAAAATGCCAGAATTTTCTTTTCTACTGCATATTTTATTTAATTTCTGATGAAGCCGAAATAAAAACAAAACATGTTATATCTTTTTTCCTTATATATATATATATATATATATATATATATATATATATATATATATGTGTGTGTGTGTGTGTGTAATTTCTATATATATTATTTACATATTATATATGGCCAAATGACTGGAAAGCGCTCAATATCAGTGATAGAACTAGAGTTGTATTGATATGAGTTTGTGACCTTGGGTTTCACACCCATGCGATCATCAGACAACCGGATGTTAAGCCAAATGATATTTGCTCTTCGTTGTTTGGTGATTGCTATAAGGTGATGGTTAAGACGCCATCGATAACGAAAGTATTACTAGATACTCTATTCTAGTTGCCCTTTATCATACTAGATTATTAAAACTGTATTTTTCTTCAACATCTGTCTATATTTCATCCACGGGGGTAGATATTTCTAGTTCCACGTGTCATACCTTTTCAGTTATTTTCCTTTAACTTAACTCTCCAAGTTTTTGTTAACCTTTGCTGTGGCCAGGTATTGAACTCACAAACCTTTGGGTCAAGTCACTTTTGGATTACTTCCACCAACGCTTTTATCTACTGGGTCATGTGTCTTTGATGAGCATACAACGACCGAAATGTCGTGAATAGAAAACATCCGGAACAATGTAAATAGTGTAAATATTTTTCTTCTTTTGTATTAGCGCTTTACAGTCTTTATCATTTCCTTCCACTTAATGCGAATAACCCAAGATGGCCGCCGTTCAGCTCATAAAATAGTATTTCCTGAATAATAATCAAAAGCAATTAATCTTATTTTGCTCGATTTATTCATGTGCACGGATTAATCTTTCTAACTCTATACTCTATTGTTTACTACAAATGTACATCCCAAACATCGACAATCAATCAGTATTAACTTAAACTCACTTTTGTTTTTTTTTTTTTTTTTTAATTAAACGATTTTCAATTTACTCCTTTTCCTCTTTTGACCTTGTATAATTCTTATTACCATTCTTTCGGATCCAATTTCGTTCTTATTGCCTCTTTTTCATTCATATGTTTCTTCTTTTCTCTTTAGAGCATTCTTTCAGTACACGATTTTAATATGATGATATTTTAAAGCATTTTCTGTTAAATCAAAACTCCTGTCTCTCCTATTATTTCTCATTCTTTCTCTCTCTTTCTCATTTCATTAGCAAAGACCCGGACTGTTAAAGACTTTCTTAATCTAATATTTTCTATATAATTCTTGTTTTCTCTAAACACTTTCCATTTTTTCTTGCCTATTCTACATCCTGACTTTTACCTGACTTTTGCTCTCATATTTCCATAAAAACTAAAACGTAATTTTAACACTTTTCTTTCTCTAGATGTCGTTTTCAATCTCTCTCTCTCTCTCTCTCTCTCTCTCTCTCTCTCTCTCTCTCTCTCTCACTGTCTCCTGATATCCAGCCAGTAAGTTGGTTTATATCAAGAGTTCTTAATCTCTTTCAATGTTCGTCATAAGATTGCCTCTCTGTGCCTATTTTTTTAAAAAAATTGTTCGGTGAGCTATTCGCTATGGTACCAAGCCTTTTTGAATTTAAGCGCAGTACTAGACAGGCGTCGAGATCTCATCAGTTTACAGTTAAGCTGGCTAAATGTAGCCGTAAGTTATATACATACAGTTTCTTTTCTCGCACTTCTAGCTTGTGGAACACCCTTCCAGCTTCATGCTTTCCAGACAACTTTAATCTGCAAAAATTTAAATGCAATGTCAATTGCTATGTACTGCCTTCGTTATGACTCTTGTCTCTTTCTGCTCATCATTAATGTTTCTGTTCCTAATTCTTCCACATCCTGTAATCCCTTACGTTTTAGTAGCTTTACTGCCTTGCTTGAGGTGATACCGATTAAAAGAAAAACGAAATTTTAAAATCTTTTCAGTAAACCTACTAAATAAATCTAAAAAAATAATATAAATAAAATGCTATTTTTTTATCAGATATCAAAGCTTAGTGCCTATATCCAGATATTAAACCTGTTAGTCACGATATATATATATATATATCTATATCCAGATATTAAACCTGTTGTTACAACAAAATTTTTAAAGTACTCGAAATTTTTACTTGGTAACTTGTTTCTTTTGCTCCCTCTCCTGACTCAGTGAGGGTGTGTAGTGCGCAGTTGTAGCTCAGTCATCGTGGGAGGCAGACGCCGACCATCCATTTTTAGAAATCCAAGGTGACGAACGCAGGGTTAAACAAAGGAGTAGATAGGTTCTGTTGAACAGAACATAAAAAACAAAATATTATGTTATTGCTTTTACTCGCTTAACTTCGAAACTTGGTTGGCATTTTTGATGCCAAGTTCCATCTGGATGCCATATTAAACATCCGGCCAATTTTTGAATTTCGTCTTCTTATGGAATCAGGAGGAAAATCAAGTTTAGCAAAAATATGTCGTCACAAATGAAAGAACTACTTCTAGGCATTTGTAAATGTTTGGATCTTCAATTACTAAATTTTTCTTTTGATTTTACTTGAAAATCCATTTTTAGGTTTCGTTTATTTTTATGTTAGTAATTTGACATTGCGTAAGCTACAAAAAGAAAAAAAAAAAGGTTATATTGTACCATATTTTTTTATATCAAAAGTCGATATCGTTCTTCCTTCTCCATTCCTTCGCACCCCTCCCTCCATATCTATCTATCTATCTATCTATCTATCTATCTATCTATCTATCAGTTACAGAAATATTTTATTTTATAAACACGTTCAGCACACAATGCCCGTGTTCATATTTAATGTTATTGAGTATTAGCTTTTTCTTTTTATCCATAATGCTTCCATTACTTTTAGGTGTTTTTTAATTTTACGTATTTTTTTGTTATTGTAGGTATCATGGGTCAATATATATATATATATATATATATATATATATATATATATATATATATTTATATTAAAAATTCCAAATCTTTTACGAATTTGGATTATATTTTAGCGGTTTTGAAACATGAAAACAAACAAAAATAAATCCATATAAACGTATGTCACTATTTTTAAAAATAATAACAAATACTAAGGGACTTTGTTTTTTGAGTTCCTTCCTATTTTATATATTTTCATATATATATATATATATATATATATATATATATATATATATATATATATAGTGTATATTAAAAATACAAGTTCCTCGCATACTATCCAAAATAAATCTTTTTTTGAGTTAAACTTTAAAGTTTACGCGATACAATCCAAAAATACTTTTTACAATATTTGGCGGCGTCTTCCTCGATTCATAGTTTCTGGTGTCACGGATTCTGTCTCTGTAACGCGACGATAAACAGAAGCAAAGGTTGTTTGACTCGGCTGACTTTGTTCTGGAAATACAACCTGGTACAGCTGTGCAGCCTCGCATCCATTACCATTCGCGCGACCGTATGTAAAAATCTTATCTCTTTACTCATGATGTAAATTTCCTGTCATTGAAAAGGAACACTTCTCAGTTGACTCACTGCTACACAGGTTAAAAGACAGACTAGCCACAAATGTACATGAATGATAAATATAAACTAGTCTACATGGCAGACCATTGCCATCTACCACAAATTATCTTTAAACTTAATAACTCGAAAACAAAGGATTTGCAGACATATATTTATATGGCCGTTTGTTCTTGTTTTGGTGTGAGGAAACCGCCCCCCAAAGTTTGTAAATGTATTCTTGGCACACCCTGTAGATAATGTATGTGCGGCGGGTGGTTGTAGTGGAGTCATTTGATTTTCTTTTTACTACTTTCTTTATCTCCTACTTTTCTTCTCCTCCCCTCGCCTTCACTTTTTCAATTCCCTTACGCTTAATATTATGTATGCTTCTCGCCAGGAGGCGTAACTGTTTTCAACACTGGGTATCAACCAAATCCAATATAGGACCCGATGTAGAAAAGCGTAACAAACGCATTTACAAGTAGAATAAAAATACAGGTTGTTTTTATAGATTTTCGTTTAATTATCGTCTTTCTTTTTTATTACACTAATTCTTCTCAATACTGTTTTTCTTTTCACATTCAAACAGACACACAGAATGTTTCTCTTAAATTAATTCGCTTTTCCGCCATTATCATGATTCGGTTTCTTACAAATATTTATATGTCCTTTCAAATAACGTCCATTTTTTTTCTCATCCGCTACATTCCTAAATTGTCTTTTTGAAAACATCTTAGCATTCAGTTCTTAATTATTTTTCTTCATTGCTCTTGCTTGATTACATAATATTCTCCCGTTTCTTGTCTTAGCTATTTCTTTTCTGCACTCGTAATATTTCACCCTGTGTATATCTTTTTTCTTTCTTTTCTCTCTCACACCCACTTCTTTAGCTATATCTTTTCATTGCATATTTTTATCTTCTTTTTTAATGGCCGTTTCTTTCATACATATTTAATCCTCTCCCTTCTAATAACTTTCTTCATCACTTGTATAGTGACACGCGTTCGCACTGTATCTACGTATTCTGCAACCAAAGTCATCTACCTACTTTTCAGATCTTATATACTTACAGTCTCTTTTCCTTATGTATCACATTTCCATCTTTATTGTGTCTTTTTTAGTTTCACTTTCACTTTCACATCTATTCTTTTCTATCATTCTCCTTTGCGTTTTTCATTGCCCATTTCCGTTTTTCTTTATTTCTTTCTCTTTCTCTGTTATAATCAAACATTTTCTTTCAGTAGATCTTTCTCTTCTATTTAGTCTGCAGTAAAAAAAAAAAAAAAAAAGATTGTTAATTTATTTCTTTTCCTTCCACCTCATTTCGTTTTTTATTTCTTCATGGCTTTCACTCCCCATTTCTTCTTACTATGTCTATTTTTCTCCCTCACCTTTTTTATCTTATTCTTTTCTCTCTTTCCAGCTTTAATATTTTAGAACAATGCCATATATACGCTAAAAATAACTAAACTATCTGCATATTCCTATAACTGATCAAAGTCTCCAATTCCGGGCAAATGCCAAAAATCAAAAATGGTAATTGATATATAATCCTCTAACGCTATTTAGAGACGAAAAGGCCTTCCAATGATCCATTATTTAAAGCTCTCAGACATATTGGACATTTATATCTCTGACGTTTGAAGGTTTCGCTCAAGGTCAACACAGTCAAGTTCCTGTTCAAGTAGAATTACTTCTATGATTACATCTGAAAGATTTCAAGTAAATATCATAACTATACATTTGATTGGTGTTATTTAATATCAATAAAATGGATTTAGTGTCATACAAAATAGCTACAAAATTTGCATGTTCCAATTTTGTACTATTTTCTGTCCGTCCACTTTTGAATAACTGTCAGCCTTTGTTGCGTAGATATTCAGGTTAAAATGATTTCATTTCGTCTCAATTACGAATATTTGTGTTTTATTTTTTCGTTTTACATTGACTTGAATGCCTTGGATGTAGGATAAAAGATTGTAAAAATATGTGTAGCACTATATCAAAAGTGTCTAGATGTCGATAAGATTTAAATCCCTGTTAATATAAAGAATCAAAACCTTTGCCTCATGGTTTCTTTTCGTTCATCTTCTAAATAAATAAACGGTAAATTATGTCTGTCCGTGCGTATGTCTGAAACCCCTCTAACTAGGACCAGACTTGCTATACATAGACATATATAGATATTTTTAGAATCAAAATTGAATTTGGAATCCCAGAATTGAAAACGCCCTTATGTGGTAGTCCTGGGTACGACGATAAACTATATCAGGCAGCAAGACCTCTGATCGTGAGATCGGATGTTTTGAAGAGCGCGGAACCTCTTAATTGCTGTTCTTTCCACGTCCACATTAACCTGAGGTGGTAGCACTTGTTAAGGTCCAAGATATGGGAAAATAGTGTTTTTATTTTTGTTTGATGGTCCACGAAGTACAAAAATACATTATGGTAAAAATACTAACAATTTATTTATAAAAAAAAAGCATGATCAGTTATAATACATTTTTATACTAAAGTATAAAAAATCATTTTATAGCAAAATTACCAGCAATACATTTATTTCCAAACTATATATCTAAACATACATTTGTTCTGAATGTATAAAATTAGGTACAAAATATTTGGTTGAAGCCATGAGATTGCGTACAAAATATTTAGATTTCGGCATTAAATAACCGATAGAGGGGTCGATATGCCGCGAAACAAAAACACCCTACCTTGTGTGATAGTGTTTTATCTGTGTTTAGTCAGATCTTTCTCATTCATTATATCATGAAGAAAATGATTTCGAAGCACTGTATCCGATTATTACTTTGTCTATCTGCAATAATAATAATAATAACAATGTATGTTTAGCTGGTCTCTCGTATCCGAGGATACCCAACTACTAGGGTGGCTAGCCAATCCCTATTGTAGATGCTTGCTCAGACGCATTTGTGTTTATTCAACACCCACAAAGCCCACCTGCTATGCTGAGCAGACCTTAGTCTGGGAAAGAGCGTGTTATCTAACGTGATCAATAATTTGAACAAGATCAGCACGTTCAAGCCCTCGGCTACGATGACTTGTGACTTCGTGCTAGCACAGCTATCGACGGCACCCAAGGCTTGAGATCGACCCCTTCAGTCCGATAACATCAGGAAGTTTCCTTTCTGACTTATCGACCATGGTGAGATTCGAACCCGTGTCTCATGGTCATAATTGCGAACCTTCTAACCACTCGGACACGTGCCCATCAATAATAATAATAATAATAATAATAATAATAATAATAATATAAGACAAATTAAGGAATTTTAAAACGGTAAAAAATTATGCTTAAACTAAGCAGGAAACAAACATACAAAAATGTGAATAGAAACAATCTTTTGATCAAAATACCATTAGAATCAATACTAAGAGTGCTACAGTATTGAGGGAACTTGCTATCACTTAGTCATTAATGTAAGCCATCAGTTATAATGATAAAGTGGTTGTGCTAGGAGACTACGTATTATAATCGAAAGAAAGCGAGTAACTGGTCAAACAGTAGGCTCATGCTTGGGAGATAGGACGAGGCTGGAACGTAACGTTTAAGGTTGTGCTTATGACAGTCGAACCAATTGGAAGAGCAATAATAATCTTAGACGAAATATTTGATGAATTTAGATTTAAGGAGTTGAAACTAACCTTGATAGTGTTGAGCTCATTGAAGATACTGAAGAAAGTGGTGGTGATTTGAGGAGACTTCTTGTCGCACAATCTCCAGTGAACGCATAAACAGATACAGTACAGTAATATATGATTGACCTGCTAGTTGCATATTTCTTTCAAAATCGCTTATGTACTCGAATTTAGAAAAAAATTAAAAAATTTCAATGTTATAAATATTGGCGTAACATAATCTTCCTATTAGCAATTTTAAAAGAGTGGTAAAAAGTACTCAGACTGATCAAGAAGTGGTTTAAAAATCTGAGGTTTGGTCATTTAGGAAGCGAGTCGGAAAGAAAGCTTTTCAGCAAACCTCGCATAATATCAACTGGTTCTATTTCAGGATACGAGCCACCTCCTCCTATCTTTTATTTTTCTAAATCATTTTCCAACCATTACAATCACTCTTTGATCCTGTTCAATTCATTTATACAAACTCGGTAAGTAGACAACTCGTTGTTTATCCCGTTTCTCTTGTCTTCAATATATTCCATAAAGTATAAAATATATAGGTTTATGGCATCATTATGTGTCTTAGAAATTTCAACTGTCTCTTTTTGATTTTAGTTCTTATTTTTCTTAAAACGTCACTATTACTTATATGTTTTCTCCATATTATTCTCAGCATTCCCCGAGAGAACAACATCTCCGTCGATTCAAGTCTATTCTTAGATTCTATTCATTAATTACCACAATCACAAATATGATATCTGCCAGAGAGATCATATGTTTCTTTAATAAGATTTCTCGAATATTCAGGCTGGTAGACGAAAATAAATAAATATATTGTTTAATAAATAAACGGGGAGTCTACTCAAGTAAGAGTTTTCACCAAAAAGAACGTTTAAAGTGATAAAAATCATGAAAAACAGAAATAAATAGATAACTTTAGATTTCTAACTTCATTTCGAATTAATACATTCAATGAAAAACATCCTTTTATATATATATATATATATATGTGTGTGTGTGTGTGTGTGTGTGTGTACACACACACACACACACTGTGAATAATTTTGTGAGTGAAATCCCTGATGAAATTACTGCCATCGTCATCATGACCATTATGGTTATTGCTATATCGACATGTGCAGTGGATCAATACTTGGCGCGAGATCGCGCCAACACGTGTCAGTTTGTCGGCGCGCGCGCCTGCGTGCACGCTCGTATGCATTTTTCCATTACAGCGACAACAATTCGACATTCCTACGCATTCACGTGTTGCGTGCGCGCGCGTGTCGTCCCATGCCTCCACCTCACATCCCCTCTTCTTCTTACCCGACTTAATGCAACTCTCACTGTGTTGATGCATGTCCAAGAGACGCAACAGGGCTAGAAAGAGAGAGGTAGAGAAAGACGTCAAAGGATGAAACAAAGGAAGAAGCGAGTGGAAATGAGGATGGGAGAGAAACGGATAGAGTAATGTTTAAAAAGAGAGAGGAGGAGTCAAATAAGAACGCAAGGAATGCATGCTTTTGTTGCAGACGCACGTGCTTTTGCGTGCTTCGCATCAAGTCAATTTTAGGTCCGACATGTTCTTCTCTGTTGACAAATAACTTCGGTGTCTCTACAAATAATCACGTGATGATTAATCAATGTCTTAACAAGTTTATGTAAGGCCCCGTCGCCTTGCAAGATTTGTCATGAAAAAAGGACATCAAGGAATAAATAATCATTTATATATTTTTCAGTGTAATCATCTTCAAACACTTTATTAAAATATTAAGTAAGCTTTTTGTTTTTAAAAATTATTTAAGAGTTTCTGGTAGGGAAAATGAAGATTTTTTTCTTTCCATTCAAAAAGACATCTTACAAGCAGAAATACAATATAATACTGAAACATTTTCGATACACCGAAGTCCTTCAAAAAATGAATCTGCTGTTTTATCATTTCGTTAGATTACGAAAAGTTTATCGGGTCGGGAACCTTTCAGTGCCTCCTCCTATACTTCTACTCAAATATCAACATTGTAATTTTTTTTTCATATCTAACAGGGCAAGTGCACAGTTAGCCAAACAGCAGAATAAATAATTGTTGAGCTGAATTCAAATTACGACTGGAATCGTATGTATTAATTTTGCATTAATCTGGTGAGGATAGCACCCCTGCCACACCAGGAAAGTCAAATCAAGGATTACTCCTTGCTGCTAACAACAGCAAGGAGTAATACAATCGGTCACCTATTACTTGTAAATGAGATGGGTGGCGCCAATTAACCCCATTGCTTTGATGAGCTCAGCGCTGTAATAGAACCACCTACTCGATCACGAGACAAATTAAATTTGCTTTGCTGTGTTTTCGTTCTCTGTTGCTTGCATTGTTTTTATTTTCATTTAAATTTAATTAACTATTTCTTAAAGTGTGAGACAAATACCTACAAAGGAAACAGAATATTATCACAGTATACAACAGTCATTTCTATATTGACAGCATCATTTGATATTTCGATTAGGCATCTGTTTGATTTAACCAAAATGCATTTTTTGTAATGACGTCTGTCAGTGGCTTATGATGCAATGGCATACAATTCACTTTGCAATTACACTAATATTTGTCAAACTAATCAGCCTTTATTGTTTTCATTTCAGAGCCAACGAGAAACGAAATCATTAGCAATGGCTTTTGAGATTAACTTGTTAATTATTATTATTCCTCCACTCTTTCTACCTACTATGACGCAACCTAAGAATATTCAGTAATCCTAATCTTGCGATCATGGTTTTATAGATTTAAATATCAAACATGTTAGGAACATGCATAAAATGCCATCTTACATGATTTTAATTTAATCTTCAACAAATACAAAAAATACAAAAACTATAAAACAATAACATTGATAATCTTTTCATAGTTTCGGACGGCTTTTAGTAGTTGCAATAATTTTAATATTTACTTTCGATAAGTAAAAATGTTCCAGTCAGGATTAACAATGCATTTTGACAAGAAGACTGAAGTCAGTTAAATCAATAAAACCTACCCAATGGCTCCGACCTCCATAAATATAATTGTCATTCAGCTGTAAGTAATTGTCAAAAATGTCGCTAACAATTTAAAATATAAATTAAACGGATTTAATGCGATTTCTTTTCTCATCGGGTGACCAAATCAAGATGAAATAGCCTTGTGTCAGACTTAAAATAAATATGAAGTAAATGAATAGAAAATAATCTTTTCTGTAGTTTGAAGGAAGTTGTCAATGTTTTTTATGCTGCAGCGATGTTTTTTCCGATGTTTTCTGTCTTATTCACGTGCTCTTGCATCAGGGACTTTCCTTTACTTTTTTCTTTCTCCTCCAATTAATTCTTTCTTTGTCCACACATCATCACCTGTTTTCCTTTGCGAATATCTTTTCGTATTTCTTCATGTTTTCCTTTCTTTTTCTTTTTTTTTTTTTTGTAATTTCTTTATTCGGATGTTTTTTTTTTGCTTTCATTCTTTCAACTATTTTCATATCTTTCCACATTTGCTTTTCTAAATGGGTTGAAACTGACAGACCGAGTTTAACTGCTACGAACATCCCCACACACTTATCCAACAGGGTTACTTGATTACTAACAACTGTAAACGCTGATAGTAGAATGGAAATGTATCATTTGAAAAATAATTTGAGAGCATTTTTACATTAGCTGTAAAAAGAGGTGAAAGTGAGATGAATTTTGAACTTGATGTGGATGAGATATGATTGTATCATTTGGGGGTTGAAAGAATCATTGCAAATTTAACAATTCTTTTCTATTTTAGACATTTAGGGAATTTGACCTCTACTCATGACTTGTAAATGCAGATCTAGAGTAATGGTCAAGCTATTTCATTCCGGTAGAAAGGAGTTGGCGAAACGGATTAAGATGCAATCTCAGGCTGCAAAAAACTGGTTAATTTAATCCCTTTTCTTGCATACAATCGAACACACAGTAGAATTTACATACGAAATGGAAGAATACAATTTTTTAGCTTTCTTAAATATCAAGCAACACCACATTAAGAACACTTTAAAACTTGGTGTACACGAGAAATCAACCAATAAAAACGACCTAATAAGTTTCTATTCTCACCATAACAACAAAATAAAATCCTTAAGAGCACTCAGAATTTGCAGCCCACAGTATTTTTAGGAAGAGAAGAAATAAATTGAAAACACTTTCAAGCTTCTTCAGTACCCCACTTATTTAATATTCGATGCAAAAGAAAAGGCTCATAAAACAATTCTAAAACAGAAAAAGCTGACAACCCCTATCAAAAAATAACTGTTCTACCAATTATCTCTATCACATCTACAACTGAAAAGAATCTATTTTGACACAACATAACATTTGCTACTACTATATCTAAAACAATAAAAGCCTAAACAATAAGTTGAAGGAAGAAATACATAGGAGAAATCTCAAGGAATCTAAATAAAAGATTATATAGACACAAAAGTGACAATTTATAGAACAATACATCAAATACCCTGTCTGCCCACCGTAACGAGACTGACCACAATTTTGACGTAAAAAAATGCCACTCTGTTCAACAGATAAAACAATTCACTGTGACGTAAATATCTAGAGAGTGCCGTGATCATTAGGTCATCTACAGTAAATTTTCACCTGTGCTCTTACAACATTTCTCACTTGCTGGCAGAACTTTTATTATTACAGTGTGGGGTATCTACTAACAAAAGGTGATGGAAAGAAAAAGAATCTAAATGAAATTGGGTAGAAAAAACAATCTCAGCATCACTCATTCGTATTCATGTATTCGAACCAACATAGCAAATTTAGTCTGATGAAGTCTTAAAGGACGAAACAAAAAAACTTTTTCCACTTTGTCATGCATTTTTGCCCTTACATTGGTTTGTATATAACAGTAAAGTGAACCAATAAGAATCGTTCGAAATAGCATCACTTGTCGTTCAGTGATTGGTTCCAGTTAATAGAATCATGTTATTCGACACTATCAAAAGCAAGAAGCCAACTTTTTGCTTTCCAGTCAACTTTGATCTTCAACATTTTAAATGCAATTTGGTATTTTCGGTCTCCTTAATTCTTGTTCTTTTATTGTTCTCCCCTTATTAATGGCTTTCTTTTTCTCATTGCCTCACGCTCAGTAACCCCTTGCATCTTAGTGGCTTTATTGTTTTGTTTAGTGTGAAATGATTAAAAAAAATCAAATTTCTCGAAAACACACACACACACACACACACACACACACACATATATATATATATATATATATATATATATATGAGTGTGTGTATGTGTGTTTGTAGTAATACATCCTGGTATTCTATGGAAAGCTGTTTAAGTAATTCATCCTGGTATTTCTATGGAAAACTGAAACACTCTACGGGAACAACCTGTGTAACGGTTAGTGGAAAGGTGACCGATTTCTATGTATCGCGTTTTCTTTCCTTTTCATACTTTATTTTATTTATTTCAGTTCATTCATTATCTACCAGCCTGCATAAGCATTATTTTATATATATATTAGTTTGCTAATCACCCTATATATACTTGGGATATGTGTAACAACCTTCACAAGATTTGGCGCACGAACCCTCCATCCTCCTTAAAAGACCAAACCTTTCGAATATTGATTGAAACAGTCCTACTGTATGGATCAGAATCTTGGATATTATCAGCTTTTTCTTGAAAGACGACTGGATGGAACATATACAAACCTACTTAGAAAACCTAGAACATCAGTTGGAGATCCCATGCAACGCTTAACACGATATACGGAGAACAGAGATCAATCTCTCTTAAGCTCAAACAAAAATGATTACAGTTTGCCGAACATTACCACCTGGCAGTCTCATTTAATAGTCTCATCCTTACTCTTAGGACATCCTTCTGGAAGTGTCTTCTCACGGAAATTGACTTTCCCAGACACTATAACTCGGGAATCAGTGTTGGTCATTGGAGATCTGGGGACAGCAAAGTAGTACCGAACAGTGTGGAAAAAGATTGTCAATGGAGTTCCGACCAACTATAGGGAGGTCGAAGGATGACAATGATGATATATACATGTTCTTCTCATCTTTGCTATCGAGTACTTTATTGCAAAGACTGCTTGCCTTAAATGTATTTTATCTCAACATTGTCAGCATTTTTGGCTTCATACTATCTTTGATATCGCTATTGCCTTAGCTCCTGAAAAATTATTCTCAGTTGAACACTTTTACAGATTTTTTGTTTGATCAGTTTTTCACGGCATTCAATTCTGCTATTACATTTTCTAAAAAAAAACAACAAAAGAAACACAGCTTACATCAACATGGAATCCACACTCCTTAAAAATATAC